AGGGGGGGGGGGGGTGGTGGTTGTTGTCAGTCAGTCAGCTGATGGGGCGAGGGTGAACCTCCGCTGCTGGCACGCTGCCTAGATCCACTCTAACCCTTGACTAGTCTTTGTGTCCTCTCGCATGAATCCAAACCAAGCTGTCGCTCCGCCCATGCTCTGCGCTCCCTCCCCAAGCACGGCTTAGTTGGATGGTGGAGTACGTGGAAATTCCATATCTCAAAGTCAACTATCATATTTCCTCCCTATTCAACAGCCCGCCATTCAACATTGTCTGATAGTTCATTTCGATTGTTTAATTGCTCTGTTTTGGTTTCTCCTGTTGATTTCTGGTTTTTTGCTTTTTATTCGTCAAAGTGTTATTTGTTTTTAGGATGATTTGGGGGCATTTGAAAGAGTTTTTTATTCCTACAGTGTCTTGCAAGTTCTTAAAAATGTCCATTCCTGTAAATTTCTCCTTCAAACGATCACCAGTTCCCTGAGTAATAACCCCTGAGTGAATAGAAGCTACAGAGCCTTCAGTCGGAATTTGGTCTTGAGGTCGTGAATGTGGTACTGTCGCCTACTTGCCTTTGTCATTTCTTTAGTCAAAGTTGTTAATGCCATGTTTCGTTTGGGATAATGGCGGAAGTTGTTGTAGATATAATGGAGACGACTTGTTTGTGTACTCTCCCCCATCACTACCATTAACAAACGAGTCGTTTTGCGGGAGTAAACTGAACACTGACAGCCTTTGTCATCGAGCTCAAAGAGCTCACTTCTGTTGACTTAACCTGGTGACTTGTCATTCGATCGTGTCCTTGGCAATCGCCAGCTGTTCACGGAGCTCTAATGGCCCAAAGGATAGCGCGACGTTTGCCCCAACGGATTCAGCACGCGATCCGTAATTCGAGGTCACCACCTCTATACTGCTACCAGTAGACCCTTTGTGTTCCCGACCTTGCTTCATTCGGCAGTCATTAACCTATTATTTACTCGTGTGGACGTATTCGTACCAATAAATAACCTTACCTAAATTGTGTTTAATGTACGGCAGTTTCAACAGTTGTTAATCATACTTTTTGTTTACTTCTATGTTTAGAGAGCCGCTAAGTTAAGGTTACCTGAGCCTCTTCAGGATTACACATGGAAACGCTCTCAAGTTACCCTTTTTGAGAATGACTTATTCTCCTTCCCTTTTATTCGTGTGCTCGGGCATAGCTGCGACTTCTGTTTTACTAACTCCTTCCCTCCTGTCTCGGTAACTTCTTCCGATTTCCGCACGGTCACCTCCCGCGCGATCGTTTCCTTTCCAGTGGTTTTCATCGTGTTATTCCCTGTTGGACCATGATTTCTGAAATCGAAAATGTTTAAGGATGCATCCTACAAGTTCCCTTCAACATCATTGCTTTACTCATTTGTGATTTTGGAACAAAATAACTCTCTGAAGTAGAGATTTTGAATAGAGCTCGTTAGAATTAGGTGGTCCGATATTTTTCTGGAAAAGGACCAGTGGTTGGAATCGGGATGTGACCGTCGGGTGCGGTCATTATTCATAGGCTCGGTTCGGGGGAGCGGAATAAGCCAAGCTGCCACGTATCCGATTAGCATTTAAATCGCTCGAAAACGCTCATAGCATTTCAATTCAAAAAATTCTCCCATTTCTGTTTACCAGTTTGCTTTGCAGAATGCTGTGGTTGTTTGTGCATGCAGCAATTTGCGTGAGTTTTCTCGCATCAGCGCTTTCGACATGGTTCCCAAAGAAGCTACCTGCTTTACGTAGAGCATCATTTGTGGGACATCTACTGCTAGGAATATGTCTATTCCTCGCACCCGGCTATTTCCTCGGCATTACGGTAAGATCTACTTTTCCTATTATCTGATTCTTTTTNGCAGTTTTTCACTGCTATCAACACTACCCATACTTCGCTATCCAGACTTATTAATTCGAGTCACGAAGCTCTATAAAGCCGGGCGGTCTTGGAAGGTGATAGAAATATGGACTATATGAGAATGTGGAATTTATAATCAATCTGCCTGCTATCACTCCTGGCGATTATTCCAGTGATTCTAACCAGTAGACAAAGTCGTGACGCATCCATAGCTTCAGACTGTGCCCTATGCCTTTAAAAAATATGGGAAGAAATAGCGCATGTGCGTTGTCGCAAGCTGTAGGAGAGGTAAACTTCGATGACAGCCTCAAACTGAGGTTGTCCATTACAGGAGCTGGCTTCAAGTAAAAGTAATTAAGTCATGTGATTTTGTTTTACTTTCAGGTACAAGGAAATTTCAATACACTACATTCGTTCTTACAAGCCTACTGTGCACCCTTTCATGTAAGTTATTGTTAGTTCAGTAAGTTGCCTCTCTATGTTCCTTGAGCAGATTCATCTACAAGAGTGTTGTCTTCTAGTTGGCCCTGGCGTATTTCCTACTGTCGCCGGGAGGATTTCCGCAGGAGAAGCCGTTTGTGTTCGGGCAAGCCTTTTGCGCTCTACTATCGCTGCTGACAAGATTACTTACTGCTTGGCATCTTACTGAAAAATCGACCCGTGGACTTCTGATATCGGACAAAGTGAGTAAGGGACGACCCAGTTAATCTTTTTTTTACTTAGTAACTGTTCATGGCGTTTCGCGTAAGTATAACAGTTTGTTTAAAACTTGAAAATCGGGAAGGTTCAACAGACATACTTCCAGTTCATTCTGTGCGCTTTTCTAACCGAAGGATCGTGGCTTCTTTGCGAATGTGTCAAGCTATTCACTTACCAGAAAACTAATCAGGATGAAATTGATGCAATGTGCAAGAGAACAACGCTGTGGCTCGAGGTAACTAAATGACTTACTGGTAACGGTACAAATTTGTTGTTGAGGATGTCGATCTTCTTACTTTTTTTATGATTGGCGAACATTCTTCTCTTCTTCAGAATACTCTTCCCCTTCACTAGTTTTTTGTTCAATCCTATGCCCTTTTCTACCTTCTTTTCTCCTTTTCCAAGCAATCTCTTCCTTTTACCAGGCCCTTCTGACACCTTCCACCTCTACCTCTGTAATCCAGCGTTTTCCGACCTTTTACACTACTTTATTATTTATGCCTGTGATATGCTCATTTTATTAAATCTTGCTCTTTTTTTGTGTAATGATCAGTCTATTACTTTTCTATGTATCACACTACACTTTAGGTTTCGATTTTCTTCACTATTATACTTTTCTCCTTTTTTTNTTTTTTTGCATGTTAACCATCATGTCAGGTGTGTATTTGTCAACGGGAGAAATAGTTGCTTCTGGAAAGCTTGGTTATTTCCAGGGAAAAGGTTCATTCTACCTGGAAAACGCGTTCTATATCGATGCTGCTGTCAGCCTTATGATGGCCTTCACTCACTTCGCTTTCCCTCAACACATCCTGAAAATCGTGGTAATTCTATTTACACTTTTTCTATTGCTACTGTGGTTTACATAGTTTGGAACAGAATGGTAGTTTCCCGCCATCGAAATGTGGTGAGAATGGGATATAGATGCAAACGTTCGCGTCGCAGTATCGTTACTAGACCTGTACCGATACTTGCTTGTTTCGCTGTATCGATTCGTAATTTAGGCCTCTATGGATCGAATACTTTTTATTCAAACTGCTGATTGAGGGAACATATTGTTTTTATAATTAGGTATTTTCTTATTTAGATTACCTCGGAGTACGCTCTTGACTCACATCATATCCTGTGGTGTCGTATGTTCGGATGTCTCAGTCTGCTGGCAGCTCTGTGTTCGCTTTCGGCCCGTTATCTCCCTCCACACGTCCAGACCCATTACCTTGCCAGTCGTCTTCTCGTAAGTTTCAACTGTTGGATTTACAATTCGATTTTTGTGTTCTCGCCTACCAGTTGCTCGACTGTTAATCAGAGAAGTGACCCACTTCAAAGGTGCTCTACTGCAGTTAGGAAAGCTAAATACAATAAAACACCTTTGTAGCGGGTCACTTGACGATCAGGATCACCTATCACGGTTTCCTGTGATGGTCATTCTGATCGATCCGCAACCATCCGCAAGTATGCTCTGATTGCGCCCACGTTCTCCTCATCCAATTGGTGACAAGTAGCTACCGATAGTTCATATATTCATATACCGACAATAAACAATAAACATATTCCGTCGAAAAAAGCTGGTTTCAGGCCCAAGTCATGGTGTTCCTCTTGAACGTATTCGGCCACTGGTATCTCGGTATCTTCTCACCAAATCACATCTCTGGCTTCATGATCTCTGGATTCTATATGTCATTCCTGTTCTCCGCCTTCTACCGTGCATCTTCACAATACAAGGTTCGTTTTCCATTTTCTTGTGATTGGTTGTTGAAACACAAGAGTTTACTAGATTAGAACCGACTTATCATTGTAAACTTTTTTCCTCTTTTCTAAATTATGAGGTCTTTGGTGAGGTGTCTTACTTTGGGGTTGAATGCAAGGGGATTCTGATGAGGGGTCCATTTTTTATCAAGTTTGATCCAGTCATCCACATGGACCTTACACACCAAAGAGCAGTTTTGGCTCGACCCAATGCTCACTGTCAGAAATTGTTTTTGATTTGAATACAACCACTTGTCGCCATTCGAACTTCATTGATAGACTGTTCTGACTGCTTTCCAGTGTTTGACTTTTTCCTGTACCATAGTTTTACTATTAAGAATTACCCATCTTAATGAGTAGGCATAGCTTTGTTAAACCACGCCTTCTTCTTTCAGAACCTTCCACTAATCACCATACGTCAGAAGGCGAAAGCCACATAGACGATCAACTGATGGCTAACCCATGCTGCTACTTATCGCAATACACTACCTCATTTAGATCTCGTTACTGTACTCTTTTACTTGTCAATTGATAAGAGCCCAATAGAAATTCTTTATATCCTAACTTTCAGCATTTATCACTTTTTTTAGCACACCTTCTTAAAGCGATTGTACAAAAGAAATACCAAATCGTTAGAAATTCCACCAGGATTTCAACGACTTCTGTCAAGCTGCCATGCATTTTTTCTAGTTACCTATACGTAGCATAATGAAGGGAACCTGATATTTGCCACCCACTTGATTGACTGCCTTTTTGCTCCAGTGCAAGGAGAATCGTAACGTTCCACGCCTTTGGGTTTGTAAAAAGAGCGAGAGCAGATTTTTTGTTAGACGCTTATTCGTAGTCAGTCACGTCTATTAATTTCTTGGTAAATCTAGAAATTTCTCGATTTGGCCATAATAACTGGCTTGTTAAGCTGCCTCTTTCGTACATCTCCTAGAAAGAAGCCAAAGGTCTTGGGAAGTTCATTCTTCTGCATGCAAGTAAGTTCACAGGCAGCCAGTGATGAAAGGTGCCCAAGAGGCGAGCCCGAGGTCATTGTGCTAGGTCAGCGCGACTTTTCCGCGCGCGGCGACTCTGCTTCTCTGACTCGCGATGTATGTGTGTGGCCCTTCTAGGTTTCCCATCTTTTTCTTAACGGAATGTGTTCATATTGTACAATTTTCATGCATACTTTGTACATACAATAAACGGAAACTCATTTATTGATTGCTAATAATTGCATTACAAAAATAATGCACATTGGCATGCATATTTGAATCCATTCGGAAGTCACCAAAAAAATTAGAATCGTACAGCCAAGTCAGGTCGTATTTCTTTTTGTGAGCACTGAGCCGTCCGTGATTGGCGAACAATTACAGAACACCAATCATAGAAGGGGCTCAAAAAAGTTCCAAATACTCGTAATCATCAAGAGTGCCTCAAACCTTCACGAAGATTGAACAGAAGTTAATCAAGGAAAAGTGGCTGTGTTCCATGAGGCAATAAACGTGGCTGTCGAATGGTCACAAATTCACTTGCATCGCTGTTCGTGATTTAAAGAAATAATTATACAACAGATAGATAAAATCATAATGGACTAATAGCAAATATTCACTGACTTTGATTACTCGGTTGTATTAGTAGCAACTACAGAGCGCCTATTGATGACATTTCTTAATAAATTGCTTGGATTATTCGATCGTTCGAATGAGTGAACTAATGTTTACCAT